ATTATAGAGCATGAAAAGCCTCTACATTACAAGGTCTCACGGCTCTAGAAAGGGATCCCTGAGATTTGCTTCTCCTAATTCCTATTTTAGAATCTGTTAGTTATGTTTTGTATAAAAACCAGTCTTACAATTTAATAGGTTTAGTCCCACAAAGTGGGCCGACAATTGTTTCTAAAAAAAATTCAACGAATCGCCTCGGAATTTTTTATAGGTATCTCATCAAAATAAATTGTTCTCTGTTGGTAATTTTTCGAAAAATGCTTCCTTTTGGAGTTATTTACAATTTTTTGTTATTTTTGGATTTTTCCCTAAAAACTACTAAATGAATTGCAATTCTATAAAAATCTTTATAATCTTTAAACCTTCAAGTACAAGTAAGAATATTTTGACAAAGATTAATTGTTTTTACCTTGCTGGAAATATGGACCCAATTATTTAGAATATGCCTGTCTAGCAGTCTGCCGCTAAGCGTCTACTTAGCTAACGCTAACATTGTTAAAGTGGTACGATAATAAACCGGTTCATTTGCTTAGTACATTTGTTGGTTCTGATCCTACTTCGTTAGTCAAGAGGTGGGATAAGAAACAAAAATCAAGAATTGATGTATGCTGACCAAATGCAGTGCAATTTTATAATAAATTTATGGGAGGTGTCGATCTTATGGATTCACTAATTGCTCTTTACCGAACAGACATAAGATCTAAAAAGTGGTATCTAAAAATATTTTTTCACCTTCTGTATTTAGCTGTTGTTAACAGCTGGTTGTTGTATCGTCGTGATTGCGATTACTTTGAAATTGAAAAGAAAAACTAGTTGCCTGTGTTACAGTTTAATTCCCACTTATGTAGCGTACTGTTAGCAAGAACTGACCAGGTCAAAAACAAAGGACGTCCCAGGCTCAGTGAAATTGAGAACGAAATTGTAAAACAAAACAGAAGAGAGCTACTGATAATTGTACCACCAAAGGGAGTTAGGCTTGACCAAACCCCTCACTGGCCAGTATTTTCTGAAAAAACGAAAGCTGCAATGTGCGATAAATGTAAAATTGCTTTATGTTTTACAACTACAAATAATTGTTTTTTTTTATTGGCATAATAAATAAGTATATAAATTAATTCGTTAGTATTTGTTGCCTGAGGGCAACACTCCCAAAACTCCCCCCAAACAAAATTTAAAAAATTTAAACAAAGTACTAGTTGTTGTAAATGCATATTTGAGCATATATACAAATTAAAACATTTTTTCTTAAGTTTACAAAAAAGTCGGCAACAGAGGGTTAACGCATTTTAATATTTTATTATGAGGATATTAATCCGTTGACAGTTTTATTTAGCAACATTAAAATCAGTACCTACCTAACTTGAAAGTAAAGTAAATCTCTCTCTCTTCAATCCTGACCCCCCAGGGGGAGTGTAGTGGTCGACGTGATGTCGTGTATTGTCCGTCTCCAGAGATCTCTGTCTCTGGTCATTTCTTTTAATTCATGCATAGGTCTTTGGCATATTCCTGTAATTTGATCTATCCATCCTGTTGGGGATCTTCCTCGTGATCTTCGGCCTTCTACCTTTCCTTGTATTATGAGTCTTTCCATGTTTTCTGTGTTTGCTCTCATAACATGCCCAAAATATTTTAATTGTTGGAGATGGACTTTACTAGAGAGTCGTTGGCTAAAGTAAATACGTACTGCTAATTGTTGGTTCAAAGTGAATTATTATTTTTAAAGTATTGTTTTCATATTTTATAAATAAAAGGACAAGAGGTGTGTTGTATTCTTTAGATTTTTCAATGAGCGTCTTTACTGTACGGAGGTGATCATTGGTACCATAATTTCATCGGAATCCGGTTTGTTCTCTCGGTTGGTAGAAATCTAATTTTTTCTCCAATATTGATGTCACTAACCTAGTGACGAGCTTGTATATGTGGTTCAACAGGCTAATAGATCTATAATTCTCCAGGTCCGTTATATCTCCTTTTTTTATGTAAAAGGATGGTTATAGCACTGTTCCATTAAAAAGAAAAAGACAGTCGAGATTTGATTTCACGTACAAAGCGTCTATGTATCTGTTTATACGTATTTCGGCCTAATAGGCCTCATCAGAACAGCTATTCATAGGCGTTCTCAACGTGAAAAATAAATCTTTTCTGTCTTTTAAGAAGCAACATTAAAATGGCTTCGTTATGGACGCAATAGCGACATCTGATAATAAATCCGTAAAATAGTTTCGAAACCAATTCAGATTTCTGCTTTAATCTGAACCTTCTAAAAATTGCAAGGCAAACAGACGTTGATAAAGATGTTAAAAGAGACATGGGGAATCTAAAATGTCGTGAATAGAGTGTGGCTGTCTGTATTCTCATCGCTTCTCATTTGTCTTCTTTGATCTAGCAGCGTTTCAGTATATGGACTTATTTTACTATCTGATTTTCTTTTAGGACAGTATACTCGGTGACTTTCTTGTAAGGCAGTTTATGATGCAATTATTCAAGTCGTTAAGATCGTTCTCGGAGGTTTCATGCAGTAGTAGCTTATTATTGATATGTGCCTGATATTGGTTAATATCTAATGGGGGTGTCCAAATACCATGAGATTTATTTTTAATCGTTATGCCTCTTTCTCGTTTTCGTGTTGATTTGGACTTTCGCTAGTATCATTCTGTGGTCACTACTTGTAGTGAACTTGTTGAGTATTGTTACATCTTTAATTTATTTGCTTTTTTGTCACTTATGATGTAGTCGATTTCGTTCCTATTTCTACTGTTTGGATTTTCCCAGGTCCATCTTCTGTGCATTTTTTTTGTAAAAGAAGCTGTTCATGTTGAATAAATTATTCTGGAGTAGAAATCCTAATATGTTTAGAGCTTTGGTGACTACAACTGTAGTTTGCAATATTTGGTGCATTAGAAATGCAAAAAATTGTTGGTGTATTCAGTTTCTAACTGTAATTTTACGAGTAAACCACTCATATTCTACCGCCTTCAATGTTTTATTGCCGTATTCATGGTTGCCTGCCCTTTTCTTCTGTTATACCTGCCTTCCTATTCCGGTGGGATCAAAAATTTTACGACTTGAACATTAATTCGTGAGAATCGATTATAAATCGATGCATTATGATGTTGATCTAACCAAAATATATACAAACATCTATAAAATTTTTATCTTAATACACATCCAAAGATAAAGTAAAAAACTAATCAATACACACGCCAAAAATCATTATCTGACCTTCGTGTTAGATTTAGAGATTTATGTTTATTTGCTGGTGTAAATGTGATCGGCAAATTTGATTATTTACACTATAATTGTTGTAATTGGACTTACTTAAACTAGGAGGCGCCTTTCAGTAGCGTAACCAGGAGAATAATTGCTAGTTTCCTAGAGCTTATTTTAAATCCTTCTAAAAAATAAAAAAAAAATCTAATGATTCTTCTATTGAACTTTTATCACATGACATGATTTTTCTAATACGAAAATATAGGTCGAACATTATTTATTAACCACTTTTAAAATAACTTTTTTACAACTTTTACAAAACGTCAATGTAATTTATAATCGAAAAATCTTTAAAAATATTGGTGAAAAAGTAATTTTTCTTTAGCTTCAACAAGTTTTTTCTGTACCGGGCAATTCTGGTTCCCTTTTCCGAATCAACTTTACAATTAATTTAGCCATAGTAGGTACTTATATTCATAAACATATTCCAGGTTGTGTATTTTGTCTATTTTCATATGTACTGAAACATTCCGTTCATTTTGTGACTGTCATTTGCTTCTGACATGTTAAGTGACTATGTGAAAGTTTGCAACTGCGATTTCCAAATTTCAAAAGTGTTCAAACCATCTACTATCTGCTGTGAACTAGTGGCGGTTACTTTTGCTCCACCTGCCATTATAATGTTCTTAAGATCTTTTTCTTCTTCTAAGATCATATTCTTTGCTATTCTACTAATGTGTTCATTCCACTCCTGTTTCCGTTTTGTCACCCATCCATTTATTATTTCTATATTAAATAAGAGCCCTCAATTGATCTTTGGGTGCTTATTTGGTGAATCTTATTCGCACTTAGTATTATTCTGAAAGCTATTTTCTTGCGTGATTTTAATCATCTTCATCATCAGCTCATTTTAAGTCTACTACAGGACATAGCCTTCCCTATTTGTATCCGGAATGCACAGTCTAGTACAGTATGGATCCAATTTTTTCGTCATCTTTTGTAGATTATCTTGCCATAATATAGGTGGCCTTCCTGTGTTACGGTCTGTTCTTGGTCTTTCTGACCTTGTAATGTATTTCGGACATGTAATGAGAGGTCCCAAATAAAAGTTGCTACAAAATATCATGCAAGGAAAAATAACAGGCAAGCGCATTCCAGGACGAAGAAGAACCTCATGGTTGAAGAACTTGCGAGATTTTTATGGTGTTGATACAAGCATGCTATTAAGGGTAACAATGAATAAAATTAAGATAGCTATGATGGTAACCAACGTTCTGAAAGGACATGGTACATTAAGAAGAAGTTCTCAGTCTCAATTCGGTTAACGTGTCCATCTTCCATCCTTAACCCTTGCCACGTGGTCAGTACATCTTTATTTCAATCTGCAATCCCTCTCCACAACATCTGTTTTTGTCTTTTATTGTTACGTTTATTTTTGCTTCAAAAAATATGGCATAAGATGGATTGGTATGTTCACTAATCGTGTTACTTGGATATCTGGATTGGACATAATGATCACTTCATGTTTTGATTATCTTTTTAAATTTTTGGAAAAATATTTTCATTGAATTTTAAAGCCACACTTTTAATAAGTACCTCAATTTGATAAGACTAGATAAACAATCATAAGTTTCTCAATTTTACTATTGATACAATCTTGATAATTACCATTATGAATAATAAATAATGACTTATCATCTTACAATTATTTTAAGAATGCAACTAATTGTGTAATTGTTTTAATTTTAATAACAAATTAGGATATGCATATAATGAGGAACAATTTTCAGGTGATTTAAATTTCGACGATTTGCTGCTTCCCGAAGAAAATACATATATCATTCTGGAAAAAGGTAATTCTCAGAATATGTCTCACCATCTTAATAATAATCCTCTATCGTCTTGCCTTCCTCAAGGTCTACTATACCACAGGGATCTGGAGTTACCCTCAAGTGTGCCTACAGGTAAGTGACAAAAATGTTTTTAGAATCGACAGATGCTTGATTAAAATTAATGTTATCGTAAACACTTGAGAATTGGTAATAAAAAAATAGAAAAATCGGATGAGATTTGTCGTGAGAATAGAAGTGCCTGACCAAACACAAAATTTGAGTAGACCGGAAATTGAGTCTGATAGTGATCTATAAACACGGTTAAAAATTTGAAAACTGGACTCTAGGAACACTGTGTAGAGTCATCACAGCACAATGACAAAGACTGGCAGAAATACAAAATAAATCCGCTCAATTCGACAAAATCGTAGTTGTCATTGACCGTAGATCACTAGCTCAATTCATGTATTGACGTGACATGCAATAAAAACGAAACGTTTCATAAATATTGTCTTTTTTCAAAGTTTATTTTTTAAGTAAGACGTTCTGAAGTTGTGTAAGGTCCAACTACGGCTATATTACTAAAATAGTTTGGGATATCAAGGTCCTGTGGTTGAGTCCATCGAACGGTCATATCTTAATGTTATTGAGACATGGCAGTTTTCATTGGCATTTTTTCTCATCGGAGATAGGTAATAAAAAGGATACTGTTAGAGAACGGGTAATACTTTAGATTAACAAAATACCTGCAGAATAGAAACTTACAGAATAGCACAAAATAACAGTACATACGACACCAATTTCTGCTGACATATGGGCCATTCAGAAGCCAATGAGCCTATGTCCATTTTTTATGTAATTCACGTTTTTCGATTTTCTGGGAATAAAAACATGTAATTTTTCAGTAGCCAAACCACTCATTTCAATTATTTTATCCCTTATACCAGAGATGGCAGCATGTGTTCTGTCACGGAAATAAATTTTAAAATAGTTTCATTTGTCACATAGCATATGTCCCGTTGTGCGCGGGAACAGAGTTAAGTAGGGTTAATCGTAGTTTTTTTACTATAAGATACGTTGTTTGCGTTCGTTCGTTGTGTTAGGAATTCGCCTAACCAGGTATAAATAAATTTTTATTGAAAATTAAAAGACAACAATGAGTGAATCTGAATATTCTGGATCAGATTATGTACCGAGTGAGGAATGTGCTTCCGATACAAGTGTTGAAAATGAAATTCCTGTACCTGATGATGAAGCAGGCCCGTCTCGAGTTATTTCAGTTTCTAATAATAATGATCAAGAAGATCACGCCACTGATAGTGAACAAATACGAGGCCGAAAAAGACCACGCCATCCGGAACTTTGGAAACGAAAGAAAAACAGCTTAGCCCGTGCTCACGGGGGCAAATATGTGAATCGTAAAGGTAAAACAATTGAAGCAAAAACTTTCAAGGACGATGATTGTTATTGTAGACTCTCAAAAATAATGTTTGATCAACAACAGAAAGTGTTTAATTCATTCTATGAACTGGGCGATTGACAAAAACAAAATATATTTTTGAGTGATATCATACACTCTTCAGTGGTAGCTAGACATCGACCCAGAGAAACAGTAACTTCAGGTTTGCCAAAAGAAAAAAACCCTACACTTTAGTCTTAGAATAAATGGAGAAAACATCAAAGTGTGTAAGAAGTACTTCAAAGCGACGTTCCAAATCAGTGATCACCGAGTGCGTAATAGTGGCGGCAAAAGTGAAATTTGTGGTTTACGATCTGTAAATGTGTTATCACCAAAGAATAAAGTTGACGTGTCTAAAATAGTTGAACACATAAACTCCATCCCAGCATATCAAAGCCATTATACGCGGACACACAATCCAAACCGTAAGTATTTGCATCCCGATCTGACTATCAGAAAAATGTATAACATGTACGTGGACAAATGTAATAATGAATGGCAGGTAACACCTGTAAAAGAAAAAATGTAATATTCGCTATTTTCCACTAAGTTCAATTTACATTTTAAGCAACCCTTGAAAGATACTTGCTCAAAGTGTGATGCTGCACAAGTTACGTTGAATAAAGCTATAATATCAGACGAAGAAAAATGAAAAGTTGAAATTGAAAATGAATTACATTTAAGGAAAGCTGAGCAAGCTCGAAGTGCCTTAAAAGTGGATAAAGAAAAATCAAGTGCCCATTACTATGTTTTTACATTTGATTTACAAAAGGCTCTGGCATTTCCCAAGCTAACCACATCTGTGGCGTATTATAAACGAAATATGTATGTTTATAATCTCGGTGTGCATCCTTATCATACAATCACTCGATACATGTATGTTTGGTCAGAAGTTGATGGTTCTCGAGGATCTCAAGAGATATCTGCATGCCTGCAAAAACATTTAGAAAATCATGCAAATGACGCTCATCATATTGTAATGTATGCAGACTCCTGTGGGGGTCAAAACCGTAACATTAAGTTGACTCTTACACTAATGAAGTTGCTGCAGTCATCGATAATAATATCAGATAGTATAGACATAAAATTTGTGATAACTGGTCATAGTTATTTGCCTAATGATCCCGACTTTGGTATCATTGAAAGCAATGCCAAAAAACATTCAGTCATTTATGATGCAGATGATTGGTATAGCATAATTAAAAACTGCTGACCTACCACCAAACAATTCGAAGTAACAAAAATGGATAAGAGTGATTTCCTGTCAACTTTACCTTTAGAGGAAGCTATAGTGAATCGCAAAATAAGTGACGACAAAGTAAAATTGAACTGGCTGAATATGCGATGGATTCGCCTAGTTAGATCTAAACCGTCAGTCATTTATTTTAAAGAAACCCTAAATGACGATGTCCAATTCGATGAAGTTTGTGTTTCAAAACGTTCAAGAGGAAAAAATAAAGTTGAGCACTCCTTGAACCTACAACTTATTCATCAGCCGCTACTGTATGAAGCAGACAGACCTGTAACTTTTCAAAAAAAGAAAGATATGCTTAGTTTGTTGAAGTTTGTCCCCCCTAATAAACACAGGTATTTTCAAAAACTCAGAACAGTAAATGTAAGACAAACGCCTGAGATTGCCCATTAGTAGATATAGATGAGGAAAATGATGAGATTCAGTACCAAGATGATAATGTAAATGGATAAGCACGTAAAATGTTGCCGTTCAGAATAAAGATTTATGTTATTTTTATTTGCGTTTGTATTCCTATTGCATTCAAATTTTGCTCAGTTAATAAAACTTTGAATTTTTCTCACATTTTTATTTCCAGTACCTCAAAAATGTATAATAGTAGGCTCTTTTCAAGTCAAAAGGACATGGTTAATTTCGTAGTTCAAAAATGTTCAGATGCCAAATCGATTAAGTCCAGTAAAATCTAATTTTTCTTTAATATTTAAATAAATATATAACTAAAAAAAATATTACTATAGGAATAAATATTTGCAACGTTTTTAATGAACAAGTATATAACAGGCCATAATAAAAAAAAATGTGTTTATCTTATAATATTATCAGTGTCAACCCTAATATTGCTCTCCTGAAAAATTTATAAAAAGGGACATAGGCCCATTGGCTTCTGAATGGCTCATATGACAACAGTGCTGATATGTGTATTAGAAACGTAGACTATTTCTAAATAGGTACAAATCATGTTAACGAAATATTTTAAAAAGCCTAATTTGTGCAATCTTTAAAAGCGGCATCTAGAGAAGGCGATGTAACTTTGAGATCTGGAAGAACATAAAAATAGATACCTAGGATCGGCGTGTCAAGAGCGAATGAAAACCATCATCACAGACGAACCCTACATAAGGAAAAATTACATATAATAGCCACAATAATAGCCGTACCAACCAAAGAAAATCTAAAAACTAATGATATTATACTTTCTATTTAAGATTTTAGGGTTGACGTCATTCCATCCTAGGATGCTACAGATATGGTAGTGTCTGGTTATTAATAAGTATCCCCTTGAAAACAATATCAACGGTTCTGAGATTTTTCCAAAAAAATTAATTATTTGCCCTAAAATGCCTCATGATTTGTTTCAAGTGCGTCACCTTGTATAAAAACGTTGATCTAATTAAGAAAAATATCTGGAAATTGGCATTGAATATATTTATGCCTAACGAATGATGTGTGATTAGGAATTAAAGCTAAAAGAACGCAACATTTAACAATCTGTAAAATGTCATATTTCATCGTTTTCCTTTATTTAAGAGAAAGGCCTGAACATTGACGGTAGAAGATTAACAAATTTGAAATTCTCAGATAACATAGTTTTGTTCTCGGACAACCTCAAGGATATAATGTGTACAATGCTACATGAACTTCAGTTAGTTTGTGCCAGTGTGGGTCTTAAACTATAGTTTATTTTTATGAACGAGAGAGTAATTAGCATAATTTTAACTGGTACCTCCGACCACTCCATGGGCGTGCTCAAGATTAATTGAAAAATTACTTTGAATAATTGTAAAAAATTAATGAATTATTTCAGTGTTATAAAGTGTTATGTGTATGTAAACAAAAGTGACCTCTTTTATCACACACTATATTAGAACTGACTGGCTTACATTAAAAAGAGTTTTAAAAAATTCGCATTTTTTTTAATTTTTAAAAATTACAAAAGAGAAAAAGAGTTTTTAAAACCGTCTAAGGTATGTTAAATAGATGAATAAAAATATTAATATAAAACTTACAGCTACTTGTTACAAATCCAAATCAGATTCAGAAGATGAACTTTCAGAACCAAGATTTATAATAACTGGCTCGATCATTTTATCAGTAATATTGTCCAGCTTCCACATTTTTTCCTCTTCTTTAATAGTGTGATTTACTGCCTTTTCCCAGTTTTCAGGTTTTACATTATTTACGGCCTCCAAAAACAACTGTTTAACATCATGAATTTTAAAAGTGGTATTTTTTCTTGAAACTTCACTCTTTATCTGTGCCCATACCAATTCAATCGGGTTTAATTCACAATGATATGGTGGGGATCTAAGTACTGTCATTCCACGATATTTGGCAATTTCATTAATTTCGTATTTTTTAAATTTTTCTTTATGAAGGGCACACAACGAATAAAGTTCCTTTCTTATAGATCCGGGATGGTACGTAATATTTTTTGAACTCAGCCAATTCTGCAAGTCTTTTTTTAACCACTTGGTGGGCAGTCCT